AACAAATTTTAAAAAAAAAATTCGAGACACGCACTCATCTCTCTCTCTCTCTCTCTCTCTCTCTGTCTTCAACGCCCTTAATTAATTATTATTATTATCATCATCATCATCATCATAGTCGTAATAATTATTAATTTAAAAAAAAAAGAGAAATTGAATTTCCTCCCTGTTTTGTTTTTCATGTTTTTCTTCATACTTGGTTTCCTTTTTTTCTTTTTTAAATTCTCCCCATGACGAAAATTTTTGCGTTAATGCGTGCATACGTACGTACGCCATTAAATAAAAAGTTTTTTCTATTGTTTCGTTGCCGATTTTCACTCTTTGTAATTTTGTTTGTTGTTATGCCCGTTGCGAAAGACAAAATATATAAAAATAATAATAATAATAATTAAGAGGAGATGGAGAAAATAAAAAGTCTTCTTTTATCTTTAATGATGGAAATACGTTGTTGTTACGTTTCCCGATCGATGATGATGATTTTTTTCATACGTTAAAACAAACAATGAATGTTTGAAACATTGTTGCGGCGAACAACATTGTTTGTTGTTTGTTTGTTTGTTTGTTTAATGGCTGTCGTAGAAATTTGTGACACACGTAAAATTTTTAATATTTTTTTTCGAATTCGTAAATATATACCCGTAATGCGGTTATTACGGTCAAGGAATAATTTAATCTTACGTACTCTCGTTGTAAATTATTATTATTATTGTTATTACTTTACGAAATGGCGGATATTACGATAATTATCTTGAAATTTTACGCGTTACGGTTTTATTTATTTATTTTTTTATTTGTTTGTTTGTTTGTTTGTTTGTTTTCTTGTTGTTAATTGGGACTCGTAATTAAAAAAAATAAAAACGGAAAATTTGATGGCGTTCATTTAATGTTAGGGCCGTTCGCCGCGAATTTTCCGAGGGAAATTTGAAAAAATTTTGTTTAAATTTGTTCTTCCCCCTCCGCCCCCCTTTTTTTTTGGCTCCCCCGGCGAGTTTTTCCATTTTGGGTTTCGTTCGATGTTTGTCGCGTTCGATATAGAATCGAAAAAATAAGTTTGTAGGGTTGATGGAAAATTAATAAAACGTATCGAAAGAATTCGTCGCACAATAGAGCGTAGTAATGAATGCAAACAAACAAACAAACAAACGAACAAACACGATAGTATTATGTTTATTCGGTTAAACGAATGAAATAATTATATAAATCAAAGGGTAACCACCGTTTGTTTAAAATATTTTTTTTTTTCCTAGGCGTTCTTGTTCGTTTTTAATGTCAAACCGCGGTGTTGTTCGTTTGTTCGTTTGTTTGTTTGTTAGGTTTGGGGTCAATATTGCTACTTACCTTCAAATTTTTTATTAATTCTCTCTTCTCTCATTTTTTGTTTTTTACTTCTCGTAATTGAATTTTTATTTTTAGCATGGATTATTTCCCACGGTTCGTCCGACAAGTCATTTTCATATTAGTCGTCCTCCATTTTTATTAACCTTCTCACAATTCGGTACATAAAACTCTTATGTATAAAAGAAGGTGTGAGAGAGAGAGAAAAAGAGAGAAAGATGAACGCGAATAATTAATAAGTATGACGATTATAATTAATATTAAAAATTATTATTATTTTGATTGAAAGAAAATTTAAAAATTCACTAACGAAAGATTTTCGATTAATGGTCGGCCATTTTGTTTTTTTTTGGTCGCAGGTGGAAATGAAAAAAATTTATATCGGAGACGTATTTGAATGAAAATGGAATCCATTTGTTTGTTCTATTTATAAAAAAAAAAAAAATTCTTTGTTTTATTTACGTAGAGAGAGAGAGAGAGAGAGAGAGAGAGAGAGAGAGAGAGACCAACAACCGCGTGCAGAATGGTAAACCCTAAAAAATGGCGACACTCCAACCGTATCTAACTTAATTCAGAAAACCGTGACGACAACGCCCAACAAAATCTCTTTGACCAAAATATTTTAAATATTCCCATTTTTTTTGTTTTGTTTCTTCCCTCCCCTCCCCTCCCCCCAAAAAATGATAACATCGATAGATGGATAGATGGGAATAGAGAGGGACGCGGTGCGAAAGGTTAAAAAAAAGAATTTTTTTCCTGTAAATTGAATGATAAAAACGTGTCAGCAGAAAATTTATTTTTCAGATACATTATTCGAATGTCATTTTAAAAAAAAAAACAAAAATCGTATTTTGAATTCGAATTCGAATTCGAACGTGGCGTCAGATATATAAATTTATTAAAACGTATCTTTTGAAAAAACAGAATATGAAAAGAATATCTTATTTAAATTATCTACTGACACGGCAATAAATTTATATTTAACGAAAAAAAAATAACAATTGAAAATGAGTTATTTATTTTCGTACGTGAATCACACGTGAAATCGTTATTAAGTTTGACTGTTTTTTTGAGTGACACGTCAAATTTTTTAGTTTTTCCCTCGGTGTGTTCTTACCACGCTGGAAAATCGTACGAAAAATTAATTTTTAAAAAATAAATTTTCACTCTTTTCACCTTTGACCTTTGTTGATTTTGATGAGTAATTAATTCGTTAGCAGACGACGTAGATTTCGCGTCTGAGAGATTTTTTTTTTTTAAATGAACGTTCGCATAGAATTAATCGAACCGTTACGACCTGGGAGCGGCCATTATAGTAATAATATTATTATTAATAATAATAATTGTTGAATTAAATGTCAGATAAAAACCGGAAGTTACATTATTAAAATAAAAAATTTATTATTATTATTATTATTAATCATTGTGAAAGGTTTGTTTTAAATTGACAGTAGTTGAAATGGAAAAAATTTAAAATCATAGAGTAATAAGTAATTCATTTGCGAGATTGTGAGAAAGGAATTTTTTTTTAAAAATGTTTTTATTATTATTATTATTATTATTATTATTATTATTATTATTATTATTATTATTATTATTATTAATACTTTTTGAAATTTAATTTAGTCGCTAATTAAATTTCATTAAATAAAATTTTAATAAATAAAAAAAAGAACGGCAAGTGCAGGGTCAATATAACTATAAACTCGAGGTCATAGAGTGTTAAATAAGTAAATTCCAATGAGTTAATTTTTCTTTTTATTTCGTTTCGAATTTATTATCATCATCATAATCATCATCATCGTCATCATCATCATCATCGAAGTCGGTATTGATTAACGTTTTTTTTTTTTTTGTTAAGTCACAGAGTAAAAGAAAATTTTTTTCACTTTTCATTTTAAAAATTGAACACGCACAATAAAAAAACATTAAAATTTTAATAATAAATATTTTGACGTCGTCGTGGTCGTAGACGAAGAAAAATCTAATCTAACGCCACGTTTGGTTTCGGGTACGAAAAAATTGATCGAAATGTAAAAATGAAATGATGATTCAAACGTCAATTAAGTTCAAAATCGCACGCTAATTTTTTTGTTTTTATTAACATAAGTCATAGAGTAATTAAACAATTTTCATATTATTATTATTATTTTGAAATTTCGATTCGTATTCGATTTAGTAGAGTAAAAGGGAATAAAAAGGAAAAAAAGTAAAACAGTAATTCAATTGTAACGAAATGAAATGTGTGCGTGTGCGTGTGTGTATGCGTGTGTGCGGGCGCGGGTGCTCTCTTGTGATCGTTACAATCGTGAGATTTTTTCTTTTGTTTTATTAAAATCGATTTAATAAAATGGTGGGAAAGCCGTCGGCAGATTTTATTACATTTTTTTATTTCATTTTCGCAATTAAATTTATTATTATTATTATTATTATTATTATTATTATTATTATTATTATTATTATTATTATTATTATTATTATTATTATTATTATTATTATTTAAAAGGGGATATATGGTTAACTTTCTTTTCGTAAGCGAAAGTAACGATCATAATAATAATAATAATTTTTCATTTGTTTATCCGTCACTTTTTTATTTGCGTCGCGTCGTCTGCCTTTGAATGACTTTTTTTTTTGTCAATTTTTTAAATGGGTCACGCACGCCAAAAAAAAAAAAAAAAGAAAATCGGTGGTTGTTGTTTTTGTCGTTGTTTGTTGTTTGTTTGATTGTTTTTGATGAGGTTTCATAGTCAGTTTGTTACAGATTTGATTTCTTTTGTTTCACGTGGTTATTCGATCTGAAATTTCCATGAAATTTTAAAAACCACAAAAAAAAGGAAGAATGAGAGGAATTGTAAAGTGGGAGGAGTAATAAATGCCATTTTTTTTTTTTTGTCTAGAGACACAACCGATCGTGATTATAATTTATTCAAGGCTAGAAGTAGTAGTAGGTTACATCCACGTAATTTTTTTTTTTTTTTTAAATTTACATTTACTTTATTTGCTTCAACATTGTTGGTGATTTTTTTTTTCTTTTTCTTCATCCCCGTAATAATTAAAATGAAAATAACAAACGTGTTTGTTTCGCGGTTGTTGTTGTTGTTAATCTTTTTTCCTTTTTCAGAAGGTTAAAAAAAAATCGATTAGCGCCCAAACTCATTTTTTTCATTTCAAAGGAAAAATGAATTAGTTAAATAGCTTCTTGTTAAATAGTTAGTTTTCTATCATTATTATCATCATCATCATCATTATTATTATTTGAAATCGTTGTAACAAGTTTACCTTAAATTTTTTTAACGAGAAAATAATTTCAGTTGTTTTAAAAAAAAAAAAAAAAAACCGCCATTTTTTTTTGTTTGTTTGTTTGTTTGCATACCTTATACATATGTATAATTTTGCATTTTTTGCAGTTTAGCTTCTTATTTTTTTTTGTTGTTGTTTGTTTGTTATACGTCCTTCAAAAATAATTTCGTAAGGTTTCGTTTGTTTGTTTCGCGGGTTTTTTTTTTAAATATGAAATTCGTAGACTGTTACAACCCCGAACGGCGGGGTCGCGTTTGTTAGGAGTTACTCTATTACGCCCATTCGTCGTCCTTCATCGAAATGAGACAAACGATTTCTAATTGTTAAAACAAACGCGTCGAATTAATGACAATTAAAAGAAAATGTTTAATTTATTCGGGTCGAAGGGTCAAGGTCGAAACATTTTATGTTTTAATATTAAGAAAAAATCAATCCGGGCTGGACTCGTTATGACGGCGAGGGTTTAAGGGAGAAGGTAGAAGGAGAAGGCGGCGACGTAAAAACAAAAAACATTTTTTTTCTCCAGGTTTGAAACCTTGAAAATTCCAAAAAAGAAAAGAAAAAATGTAATTTACACGTTTTTTTTGTCTGTGGGATAATAATATGTGTGTGTGCGTGTGTGCGGGTATAGGAAAAAATGTTTCTCTCATCATTCGTAACGTATTGTGTTTAAAAGGTTTAATTTTTTTTTTTTTCCGTGTCAGAAGAAAAAAACCAACGGACGAATCATTCATTCGAATGAAACTTCTTTTGATTGTTTTTTATTTATTTATCGGGTTTTTGTCGTGGTTTTAAATCCATCGAAATCGTATTTCAAACCGAATTCTTCATCTTACTCGTATTTATTTTTCATAACTTTTTTACCCTTCATAAATTCCATAGATTTATTTATGCGTATAGGCGGAGATTTTTTAAATAAAATTTAACCGATTTGGGGGGCGGGTATCGCTCCCCCCCCCCGAATAAATAACGCCCAAAATATTTGAAAACCTGTTACGTAATAAAATTTGCGGTTCTCTTTATTTATTTATTTATTTTTGTGTTCGAAATGTTTGAGAGTAGCAAATTTTCTTCGTACCAATTAAAACGACGGCAAAAATTTTGTTTGTTTTTTTTCTCTCTCACTACCGCACGTAATTTTTCATTCAACAGTTGGCAACAAACGAAAAAAATTTTTATTTAAATATGGCGGCGTAATAAAATTTAAACCTCAAATATTTAATTACTTGTTCGAGATAAAGGGAAAAAAAAATTATTATTAAATTACGTTGCGTAAATAGAAAAATTAAAGTTTTAAAAATTAATCATAGATAAAGTTCTAATTGATTAATAAATAAATAAATAAATAATTTAATTATTTTGTAACGGTTTTATTTACTCTATGAAAAACTTACACCTCGAGTACGTTCGTTCGTTTGTAATTTTACCGGGAAAATAAAAATGAAAAATTTTCCTCTTACCAACTTTACACGTTTAAATTAATTTATTATTACTATTATTATTATTATTCTTTTTGTTGTTGTTACAGGTAAGAATGATTTTCGTAATTGTCGACAAAATTTCAATGATAATTTATTACCGTAAATGAAAAAAAGTGCGTTCAGGCGTTCGTTCGTGCGTGCGGTCAATCGGAAATGATTCGAAAAAGGTAAAAAAAAAAATTTTTTATTTACTCTATGATATATTCCATAAATTCAAGGTTTCGAAATTTCTAATACGGTAAAAAAATTATTATTGTTATTATTATTATGATTATTATCATCATCGAATGATGACGATCACGTGCTATTTATTTCGTACCGGAAATCGATGACTGATAAAAAAACAAAAAAAAAATGAAAATTCAATTACCAAACGGTGATAAACGAAGGTAATTTTTAATGTTTTGTAATTTTGTATTTCGCGCCATTTTTTTGGAGTGAGAGAGAGAGAGAGAGAGTGATGCGATATTTCATAAATAATTGTGTAACCGAAGGATTTGTTTAAATAATTTTATATCCGATTTATATTTGCAAAACGGAAACGGGTTTTGTTATTAACTATATTTCGTCGACGCGAATTCAAACGTGGAAATTTCAAAACCGGAAGTACGTAAGCCGTTAAAATCCTTTTTAAACGACTAATATTTCATTAAAAGAAATTGTTTTTAATTTTTTTTTTTTTGTGGTTGGCAGTAATGTTTCACGCAATTTAAAAACAATCGATACGGAGGGCTTTATTATTTTCAATTTTTATTTCATTCGTTTTTTTGTTTATTGGGGAGGGGGCGGTACGGGAGGGGAGGGGAAATTTTATCGATTTATCGATCCAGTCTTGTAATCTTTTTATCGATTTCGACATGTTTCCACACCCCCTCCCCCCGATATTCGCAAAAAATGTTGTTGTTTCACAAACTTTGACCTTTTTTTTTTTCTTCATTTTCCTCCCGGTTTTCTTTCTTTTTTTTTTTTTTATAAATTTTTTCACGGTTTGATTATAAATAATTTTATTAATATTATTATTATTAAGAAATAAGTTTGGCGTTTATTTATATATTCAAACAAGTTGAATTTTTTTTTATTACGTCCCGGGGTTAAAAATCTTTAAAAAATTTCTATATTAATTTTTTCCATACCTTTTTTTTTTTTTTCATTACGCTTTGAGAGTGTAATTAAATACGCATTAACGGTTTTAAAGTTTTTTTTTCTTTTTTAAATGCGATTATGAGGATGGAGGAATTAAGTGGAAAAATAATTTTTTTTTTTTTTTATTAATCAGAATCTATAAATTTTTTTAAAAAGAAGTTTATGTACTCTATGGAAATCTTAGAGATTTTTTAGAATTTTTAACTTAATGATTGAGGGGGTTAAAAAAAAAAAAAAGTTTGGCTCTCTTTCCCCGATAGAAACGACTGAAATATTTTCTGTCTCTCTCTCTCTCTCTCTCTCTCTTTCTCTCTCTCTCTCTCTCTCTCTCTCTCTCTCTCTCCCCCCCCCATTGTCTTCTCTCTCTATTTTTTCTCCCTTCTCTCTCTCTCTCTCTCATTCACTGCCTTGTTCTTTTTGTAACTCTGTTTTTCCTCCATTCTTTTTCTCTCTCTCTCTCACTGTCTTGTTCTCTCTCTTATTCACTGTCTTGTTCTCTCTCTTATTCACTGTATTGTTCTTTCTGTCTCTCTCTCTCTTGTTCTCTCTCTCTCTCTCTTGTTTTCTCTCTCTCTCTCTCTCTCTCTCTCTTTCTCTCTCTCTCTCGCGCGCGCGTAGTCCTTCGAAATAAAAATAAAAAAAACAGTTTTAATGACTCAAAAATATTTTTTTTTTTTTCGTGATCTGTAAACAATGAGAATTTTTTTTTAAATTCTCTTCTCGGTATTATCTATCTTTTTCAAATCGATAGATCGATCGATTAATCGATAATTTATCAAATGATAAATCGAAAAAAAAAAATTTCCCAAATTTAATTCAAACATAAACAAAAATTTTGCGGTAAGAAAAAAAATTAAAAAAAAAAATAACGCTCGAAAATTTTCTAAACTGAATCATTCGTAATAATTCGGTTATGATAAAATTTACGAAAAAAAAAAAAAAAAAAACTAGATTATACAAACAAACAACATTTTACTTAATTTGTTACGTGTTTAAAAAAAAAAAAAGAACAACCGAAAATTCTAGAATGAACAAAAAAAAAAAAAAAAAAAAACGAGTTTATTTATATATATTTAACTATTTATCGTATCACATCTCGTAAATTTTTTACCTTTTTTTTTTTTTTTAAAGTCACATAACGAACCGTTATTAACGATGATGATGATAATCTTAATAATGTTAACGTTTAAAAATGACGAAAATAACGATCGACAACTGCAACGACGACAACGACAACAACAACAACAACAACCGACATCGTTTGTTTTCCACACAAAAAATAAATAAACGTGAAACGCGCGTGTTAGTTAAAACAAATTTAAAACGCCAGTAAAAAAAAAAAAATTATGTCACAGGAGGAGACTTTTTTAAATTAATTTTTTACACGACAAAATAATTTGTTTTCATAACAAAAAAAAAAAAAGTTATGAAATAAATAAAAACTAATTGATAATTTTTTTTCTAACGGAGAAAGTTACGATTGGGAAATGCGTAACCCGCGTGCGTGCGTGCGTGCGTGCGTTTTTCCTCGTGTCAGATAAGTATAGAGATTAGGGAGGGCGTGAAATCAATTGGGAATTGTGACGTTAAAAACCGTTAAGAAAATTGATAATTGGGTAATAAAAACGTAACGTTGCAGGGGGGCGTTGATAAAACGGTAATTTTTTCACATTCTGGAGAAAATCCTGAGCCTGGAAATTGTTATTATTATTGTCAATTTCGAACGCTACGAAATTCCAGAAAGTTTTATTTTGTAAAGTTTTCCAGATTTTATTCCAGGTTTACTTCCGATTCCTTAGAAACAAATTATTATTGTTATTATTGTTATTTATGATATTATTATTATTATTATTATTATTATTATTATTATTATTATTATTATTGTTGTTGTTGTTGTTGTTGTTGTTGTTTTTGTTGTTATTATTGTCAATCTCGAACGCGACGAAATTCCAGGAAGTTTTTTGTAACTTTTCCAAATTTTATTCGAGGTCTCTTTACTCGATTTCTTAGAAACAAATAATTATTATTATTAGTATTATTATTGTTGTTGTTGTTGTTCTTCTGATGACGTTTCCGTAATCGTAGCGGATATGATTTTAAAAGCAGACGACGATGAAATAATTTTTTTTTTTTTTTTTTTTGTTTGTTAAATTTATTCCCGCGTGTAATAATTTAAAAGAGCCCCTCGTCGGCCATTTTTTTTCGTTACACGAGAGATGTCGTTGTAATATTATTATTATTATTATTATTATTATTATTATCTTCATCATAATCATCATTGTTATTTTATTGTTCGCGAAGATTAAATTTAATTCTAATTACCGCGAAACGTGAAAAAAAAAAAAAAAAAATAAGCGACCTAAATTTTTTTTTTTTTTTTTTTTTTTTTAAAAAGAAAAAGTAAAAATGTAATTTTTTTTTGTTGTTGCGAAATTTTTCATTTTTATCATCATTATTATTACTAGTATTATTATTATTATTATTATTAATTTTTGAAAAATGGCGCGAGATAAAAATTAAAGCGAAAAGGAAAAGGAGGGAAAAGCAAAAGAAAAATTGTTAGAAATTTTTTTTATTTTCTATTTAAAATAGCACGCAATGAATTTTAATTAAATTAAATAAATCGATAATCGATATCGAAATAAATCGATATATCGTTTCGGTTAAAAATTTAAAATTTGTTTGATCGTTTACGTTGTTGTTTCATATACGTTTGCGACAACAAAGGGGGGGGGGAATGTTGTGACAAACAACGTGTGACTAAGGGAAAAAGAGTGCGCGTTAATGACACGGATAGAAATTATCTAACGTCCCGACAAAGTTGTTTTTTTTTTTTAAATATAAATGGGAGTGCCATTTTTTTTTTGGGATTTAAAATTTTTTTTTAAATAAATTTTTAGGAATTTTTGTCGACTTGACCTCGGGGATACCCGTTACCGTTATTAAAAAAAAAAAAAAAAATTTTTTTTTTCAAAAGAGGGCGTTTCCCCTTTTTTTCTCTATTATTAAATGAATGGGTTTAATCGGTTTTACAAAAAAAATATAAAAAAATATTCCGGGGATTCGTTTTGTGCAAATAAGTATATTAAAAAAACCGGCGTGATTGTGTGTTGTCGTGGTAGACTCGATATAACCAGGTTTCGATATATCGATTTACGAGTAATCGAAAAAAAAAAAATTTTAATAAAGTAGCGGATTTTATTCGGTTGAAAATATTTTCTCTCTCTCTCTCTCTCTTTTTCTTCATGCTTTCTTCTTTTTATATATTATTTTTTTAAATTTATTATTCATTTTTATCTTTT